GGCGGAGGCGGAGGCGGAGGCCACGGCGGGCCTCGGGCCCTGCGAGCGGCTGCTGAGCCGGGTGGCCGCCCTGTTCCCCGCGCTGCGGCCGGGCAGCTTCCAGGCACACTACCGCGGTGAGCGGGTCGGGCGCCCTCGGGAGCGGCGCGGGGCCCTGACGCAGGCCTGCCTGCGGGGCGGGTGGCCGCGCCTTCCCTCGAGATGGGCTTGGTGGCGCCTGCGGGGCTTTGTCCTGGCCGCTCACTGGGTGGTCGGAGGCCCGCGTGGATCCCCAGAGCAACCTCGGGTGACCAAGAGTGGTGACCAAGGCCGGCTCTTGTGGGGCCATGGTCTGCCAAGGCTCTCTCGGCGGGTCTCAGGCCTGGGGCCTAAGAGGCCTCCCCTCCCCCGGCCATGATGTTGCAGATCTTGGCGAGGGTGCTCTTGGGCGTCTTCGCCGGCTGGCGGCGGGTACAGGGTGGTCAGGCGGGCACTCAGGTTACACTGACATCTTGCTGCTGCGGAGTCGGGGCCTGCTAGTGCCCGGTGGGGTTTCAGATCGTGACCCGGAAGAGCCCGGGCGCCTGGAAAGAGGAGTGGTGCGGGTAAACAAGTGTGGGGGTGCAGGGGACTCGGGCTGTGCGGCCTGGCGCTCAGTCCGCGGCGGCTGGGGGAGGAGAGGCGGGGATAGACCGCAGGACGCCCAAGACCAGGCTGAGCCCAGACGTTATCCCACTGGTCGTGGGCAGAGGAACAAGATCAGAGCCTTCTTCCGAAGTGGCTGTGTGGAACGGGAGGCCAGGAACTGTCCAGTGTCTTGACTGGTGGCTGCTAGGGGTGGGGTGGGGAGGTGTGGCTGGGAGGGAGGCGGCGGCAGAGGCAGGCTCCTGGGCAGGGCTGTGCTGGGCCCTCTCGCTGAAGGGTGCGGCCTGGGCGCCAGGCCCGCTCCTGGTTGGTTTTATTTTTGTAAGAACTTTATTGAGCTGTAATTCACATGCCATACAATTCACTCACTTAAAGTGTACAATTTTTAGCATATTCACAGGTTTGTGCAACCATGATCACAATTTTAGAACCTTTTCACCACCTTATAAAGGAACTCTAATCCTTTAGCCATCCTCCCAGCCCCCCAGCCCTAGGCAACCACTAATCTCTTTTTCTCTATGGATTTCCCTATTCTGGACATTTCATATAAATATAAATATAAATATATATATGTAGCCTTCACAACTGGCTTCTTAATACTTAGCATAATATTTCCCAGGTATACCAGTGTTGTAGTGTGTCAGTGCTTCATTCTTTTTTGGTGGCTGAATACTAGTCAGTTGTATGGACATAGAGCCTTTTGTTTATCTGTTCATTAGTTGATGGATGTTTGGGTTGTTTTCACCTTTTGACACTGCCCCTGTTCTTATGGTACATAAGCTTTGTGTGTCTGGTGACCCACAAAGCTGGTCCAGCTTGCAGATGTATGGTGTGGTTCGACCTACATGGTGGTGCTTTAAAACCATTTGAGCCAATATCTAAAAAAGGAGACTGGATACAAATCCATAGTTTTAGCTTTGTTGGGGGAGGAAGCAAGTGGGTGTATTCCTTAAACCTCAAGAGGGCCAAGGCCTTTGGAGGAGCCTGGTTTCCCAGGAGCAGGTCACAGCTGGGCATCTCCCACAGTTATAGATAGGCCTGGGCCTGGTCAGATGTGAACTGAGGCAGCACCTTTGTGAAGGGGCAGCTGGCTAGAAGCCGAACAGTAGGTAGCCAGCTACTACTGCTGCCGCCCCTGCCTCCCCCGTGCGCCAGGGCCCAGGCTGGAGTTTGTACCTTCCGGGCAGCGGCAGAGTGAAAGCAGTCTGGCCTCAGTCCTGCTTCCCCCTGCCTCAGACAGGTGGGCTTCAGGTATAGCCCCAAAAGTGCTCCTGTGGCTCAGGCCTCAGCCCTTTTCAGCAGTTGTGTATAGGCGAGGAGCCCTGGGTGCTCATGTGCTGTCTTTTAAACAATCTAGATGAGGACGGGGACTTGGTTGCCTTTTCCAGCGACGAGGAATTGACGATGGCGATGTCATATGTGAAGGATGACATCTTCCGTATTTACATTAAAGGTAAGGGCTGCTGCCTACCAGGTAAAACGGGACGGCTTGAGATTATAGGGAAAATCCCCCCAGCAAAGAGGAGAGGAGCTGCAGACAGTGTAGGGGCGTGATCATGGCTGTGCTTGGCCTGAGAAAGGAGTCAGTGTCCACCACAGTGGGTAGGGGCAGAAGGTCTCTGGGTTCACTGTTGATTGTGCCCAGACCAAGGGCCATGGGTTGGGGCAGCTTTGAGGGGTGCTGTGGGGTTTATTTTAGTGAAGGGCAGGACCAAAGCTGTGCAGACACAGCTCCCTGCTGCTTCTCTCCCACCTGGGCCACACGTGCCCAGGTAAATGTGCAGGTCCTGGGAACCTTCTGGCAGGTTCTCAGGTCACTTTGTTGCTGTTACTTGAGCGGCTGAGTTCCACATGGACTCAGTGTCTGGAGAGCAGGACCAGGGGCCTGCTCACAGTGGTGACAGCCCCGCAGTAGTGACAAGGGGGAGACTGTGGGACTCCACTTCATAGCTCTCTACCCTCCCTGCAGAGAGGAGGGAGTGCCGGCGGGACCACCGCCCCCCATGTGCTCAGGAGGCACCCCTCAACATGGTGCACCCCAATGTGATCTGTGATGGTTGCAACGGTCCAGTGGTGGGGACCCGGTACAAGTGCAGCGTCTGCCCTGACTACGACCTGTGTGCAAGCTGCGAGGGAAAGGGCATGCACAAGGAGCACAGCAAGGTCGCCTTCCCCAGCCCCTTTGGGCATCTCTCTGAGGTGAGCAGGGCCTCCCAGCTGGCCAGGGTGGGCACAGGGTGGCTGGAGCCCCCTGACCCAGCACCATTTGCCCTTCTGTTTCCTTTCCCCAGAGCTTCTCTCACAGCCGCTGGCTCCGGAAGCTGAAACACGGGCACTGTGGATGGCCTGGCTGGGAGATGGGCCTCCCTGGGAACTGGAGCCCACGTCCTCCTCGGGCAGGGGACGCCCACTCCAGCCCTACAGCAAAATCTGGTGAGCACTGGTCTGTTGGCTTCTTCAGGGCCAGGTGGGAGGGCCGCAGAGCTGGAAGGCCTTCCCCATTACCTGAATTCCTGCTGTGCCTGCGCTGGTCGGGGCAATGCACAGCCATTGAGGTTATTTAATCCTCGCCAAACCCTGCAGAGGGCGGAGCACCGTCTTTGTTTTACAAACGGGAAAACAGGTGCTTGAGTGCCCAAGGCCACTAATTCACCTGCTCTAAACCTAGCCTGGGCCCCAGCCTGGCTCAGCACCGTTCCAGCACCTTTGTCTCTGTAATGTGCTCCATTCTCTTATGTTAGCTGCCCTGAAAGTCAGAGCCAAATGAGGTTGTCTTTATAAACAGTCACAAAGTTAAAAACTACACATAGCTGGCATTCTAGATTTTTGGATTCTGGTTTTATTACTCTTACTGTGTCCTTTGATTTACCTCATCCTTGGGGACAAAGGTGGGGATATTTGTTTGATTTTTGAGAAAATAACATATCTAGGATGTAATATTTTATACTGCGTATATTGAACCCCTTGTGGGGTTCTGATCACCAGGGTCACAGATGCAGGGGAATGAAGGGTCCCAGGAGGTGGCCTGGAATGGGAGGGAGCGAGGACAGTGATGGGGTGCAGGCTGCCAGGATAGGCCTGAAGGTGATAGCACTGCAACAGAGATCAAGATTGTTGAGAGATGTATTTTGAATTAAACATCGTTTTTATTTTTCAAACATCAAAGCTTCTGGCCCACCGGAGGACCCCAGTGTGAATTTCCTCAAGAACGTAGGGGAGAGCGTGGCAGCCGCCCTCAGCCCGCTGGGTAAGTGTTGGCCTGTCTGTTCTTCGATGCCAGCAGGGCCTTCTGGTAACTCAGTGTGAGTGGCTGTTTGTGGCTTTCACCTGAGATACTACAGAGGAAAGGGAACGCCCTTGAGACTAGTAAAGATTGGTTGCCTCAAGTCAGCCTTTGCCAAGTGTACCACAGGCCACTCAAGGTTGAATTCCCTGACAGATTCTTGAGCTTTCCACATGAGTGCAGGAGAATCAGCCAGCGTTTGGTTGGCATCCCAGTACGGAGGGTGACCAGGCTCAGCTGTAGGGCTGGCCTGTCAACTTCTGCCTGTCTGTCTTTTGGGGGAAGAACAGTTTGTATTTTCCCCTCGTGTGAGCCTTGGGGTTTCCTCAAGGACTTGGGTGAGTAGTTGAGATCCCTTTTCTCTTTCCTTCTTTTTTGCAACCCCGAACCTTTCCTGCAGGGCTTGCAGGTGCTGGGCAGCAGGGAGCAATAGAGGAAGGGGCCCTGTGTGACGCCAGGTTCCTAGTGTCTCGGGTTCAGAGTAGGTCTCTGGGTGAGAGAACTGCAGCACGTGCCCCCTGGCGGTGTGACAGGTGGGACCTCTGAGGTTTTTGAAAGCATCCACTGTGTCCGCTAGTCTGGATGTGGGTGCTGCAGGGCTAGGCCTTGTGGCAGTGAGAACTGATTAAAGAAGGTGACTTCTGGTTCAAGATGACCACAGATCCATGATCTCAGACTAGCAGAGAGTTCATCTTTGTGACTGCAGTGGCAGGAAGTGTCCACCCAGTCCCGAAGTTGTATCCAGTGTCTGAAAGAAAAAGAGGATGCCCATACCTCACCCGCCACCCACCCTGTGGCATACAGGGAATGACTGCCATCACCTCTTACCTGAGACATTTCTGCTCACGCTCATTCTGCCCCAGGTACAGCTTCGAAGCAGCGATGACATCTTGGCATTGCTGCTCCATGAAACAGCTCAGACCACACATGGTTTCTGTACTAGAGTTAGCATGAGAAAAATAATTGATAGTCTTAATGCTCTCCAAGGGGGATAAAACGGGCAGTGATCAGATTATAAGGGGGAGATAATCTCCGCTAAACTCTGCCTGCCACTCATTTAAATGACAAAATGAAGGGGAGTGGAATTTGAGGTGGTCATCCACAGAATGGGCTGTGATTAAGGGCCATGGGAACTGTTCTTTGGAAGATAGTAAGTGGACAGTGGTTCTCAAGCTGGCTGAGCATCAGTATCACCAACAAAGGCTGTTTTATTTTGGAAACTTAAAATTACTCTGAACAACAGTCGTTCACTAAAAGAATGAAGGAGACAACCTGGGAAGACACAAAATCAAGTCTAGGTCCAGGTAGGGAACTTGACAACAGTACGAGTCCCTGGCCCGCCTTCCGGATTCTGGGATGTGGGCCTTGGGGAGGGCCTTGGAGCTGGGTGTTTTGAAGGCTTCCCAGGTGACTCTGGGCCACACTTGCTGTCCATCCAACACTGTCTGAGCTTGTGGTGTGTTTCAGAACTCGAGCTGGATTCTTCACTCAGGACACATGGGAATAATTCTGGAAATGCTCAGAAGCCTCTTGGGATAAGGCCCAAGGCTTTTTCACATCTTTCAAAGTGGATGGAGTTGCTTTCTGCCAGCTAGGGAGAAGCCTACAAGAGGGGGAACGTTTCAGTAAAATATGCCTTTGAGTAGTTTCAGTTGAGAGCCATTCGAGGAATTGATTAAATTCTGCTGTTGGAGTTATGGGTATTTTTTTTATGAGGAACTAACAGCTAGGATGACTCACTGCTGTTTAGAAAGGACTGTTCCCAGGCAGGGCCCAGAAGGGAGTGAGCCAACACCACATCCCAGAGGGCAGTCTGTGTGCAGTGAATCAGCAACTTTAAAGTAAGAACCCAAGGCCATTTTTTTTTTTAATTTAAATTTTTAAATTTTTAAAATGTTTTTATTGATTTTTTTAGAGAAAGGGAGAGAGAGAAATAGAAACATTATCAATTAGCTGCCTACTGCACTCCCCCTGCTAGGGATTGAGCCCGCAACCTGGGCATGTGCCCTGACTGGGAATCAAACCACGACCTCCTGGTATAGGTTGATGCTCAACTGCTGAGCCACACTGGCCAGGCCCCAAGGCCATTTTTTGATAGTTGCTGTGTGAACCAATGGAGTGGGTCCACCAAGGCCCAGAACTGTTCCTGGCTTAAGGTCACAGTGAGTGACATCTAGGACATAATGCAGCAGGGCCTTTGTCTTCACGAGGTATTCCATAAAACCTACACACACACAGGCTTTGGGGGCAGCAGGGCACAGACTATGGCACAGTCTGGTAAGCCCTGTAGTGTTGGGTTAATCATCAAGTTGGAGAATCCCTAGTTCTATAATCTCTCTGATCCATTATAGAAGAGTGATGTCATTTATGCACCTAACAGTGAGAAAGTACATGGTTTTGTTGTATTGTTTTTCCAGCTTTTCTGTTTGTTTGCACCTTTCATAATAAAGTTGGAGGGAAAATGTAAGGAGAAAAACAATTTGAATATTGTAGATGAGGGTACTGGTAGTTATGCCTGCGTTTATCTCTGCTTGCTCCTCAAACTTTGTTAAAATAACAGTAAGGGGATTAAAAAGTTTAAAGCAACATGGACAAAAAAGGGAGAAAAGTAATAGAAGACAAGATAAGATGATGCCATGAAACTTTGGAAGATGGGAAATGGATGGAGGGCAGCAACCAAGAGTTGGTTATTCACATGGAGGTTTCTGGTGAAAAGCAAGGCCAGCTTCCCGGCCAGGAAGGCCAGGTAACCAGTGGATGGGTTGATGACCCAATGAAGGATCACATAGAGACTTCAGGGCCCTGCTCAGCCAGATGATGACCCTTACCAACCCTTGCAGGAGATCTGGAACACTTGATGCAGGGAAGTTTTGCTATAGAGACAACAGGGACACAGGGCAGGGTGAGGCACCAGCTTGAAATTGGGCATCATGAATGAGCAGTGGAGCTAAGGAGTCTGCTTAGGAGAGGCTGAATGTGCCCAAGTAGAGTCCTATAGCTGTGCCATCTAGGATCCTGATGCCTGGCCGGATATCTGGTCACCTGTAGATGGAAACTCCTGGCCTCACATACAATGTTTCCTATTGGCCTTTCCTTAGTGTTTTCCTGGGGTCAGACAGCCACAGCTTACCAACCATTTGGGAAAACTTCCAAACACAGGAAAGAAGAAACTTGGGGAAGGATATGTAACAATGAACAGAATGTTAACATCCTCAGTGAAAGACACAAAAACCTGTTTGTATCCATGAATAAAGAACAGGATATCATAAAAATAACGAAAGGGGACAAAATGAGAATGTTCTTGGAAAATAATAGCAAAAAAGAGAACATTTCAAAAGGAGGCTTAGATTTTAAGGTCATCTTAAGGAAACATTGCAAAGCAAAACAAATAGAGGCAGGAGGAGAGAAAATTCAAGGATTAATCCTGGTGGCACAATAGGATAAACAGGAATTCCAGAAAGACAACAGAGAAAACTGAAGGGAAGAAGTGAACAAAGAATACAAGTTCTTTGCACCAAGGACATTAATCTCTAGATTGAAAGGGACCCCCTGGTGCCTTGTACAATGACTAGAAAAGACCCCACACCAAAGTTTATCATTATTAAGTGTTAGAACCCTTGGGATAAAGAGAAGCTCCTGAAACTCCCCAGATTACTGTAAAGGCTTGGGAATTCAAAGCACAACACTGGAAGCTATAAGACAGTGGCACAAGCAAAGGTTTCAGAAGTCTAAACTAAAATGGTTTTCAACTTAGAATTCTATACCCAGCTAAAGTAGTAAGGTGTGGGGGCAGAACAAAGTTGTCTGGTATGCAAGGTGTTGATCATCTTACCTGAGCTTGAAACCTCTCTGTGGTCAAAATGAAAATAAACCTAGAATGAAGGTGTTTGCAAACAGGACCCAACACAGAGGGAGTTGCCAGGATGAAAGGAAAGGTGGGCAAAGTGCAGGAGCTGTGCCTCTGGCCTAGAGAGCAGCCAGGTCAGGTGGGAGCTTCCTGTAGTCCTCTGTGCCACAATGGGGCATTCTAGCCACAGATGGTATTTGGCTCCCACTGGTTGCTAGGCCCTGGCCCAGTCTGCTGTGCAGATCTGTCCTGCATGGTTAGGGAAAAACAGTATCTCTTTCTAGACTTACTGGCTCTGAAAATTGACCTGGGATGTCAGTTGAGATTAATGTTTTATTAAGCTAGAGGAAGAGAAAGGTGCAATAAGACTTATTCTAGAAGCCAAGATGATTTGGGGCCAGGAGTTTGGGAGCAGTTAAGCCCTTGGGATCCTGAAGGTCAAAGATGACCATCTATTTGCCTTCTTGCTGATAGGCTGCCATCCTGGCCCAGTCCTGTACTGGTGGTGTGACTCCAGATCTGTAGTGGATGCCAGCATCCCAAGCCTCCCACACTTGGGGGGCTGAATGTGAAAGCACTTTATAATCTGGCAGGTTCGCCCTCTGAAGGACTTAACAGGTTTTTGTTTTCTCCTTGGTGTCTAGGCATTGAAGTCGATATTGACGTGGAACATGGAGGGAAAAGAAGCCGCCTGACCCCGGTCTCTCCAGGCAGCTCCAGCACAGAGGAGAAGTGCAGCTCTCAGCCAGGAAGCTGCTCTGACCCCAGCAAACCGGATGGAGTCATGGAAGGAGCAACACAGTCTCTGGAGGAGCAGATGAAAAAGATAACCCTGCAGCCGGGTGCACAGCCTCAGGCAAGCACCCTCCCGCTCCTCCCAGCACCCCAGCCACAGCCCCGCCCCAGCACTTATGCAGCTGGGACCCAGTTCTGGCACAGAGTGAAGTCTGTGGCATAAGTCATTCTGTGACCCCTCTGCTAGAACTTTGTAAAGAATATTCCTCTAGCTCCTTGCCAGTGTGTCTTCCACATGCGGACTCTCCAAGGAATTGAGACTGTGGTCCGGTGGGCCTCTTGCACATGGCCTGTGTGCTCATGGGGGTTTTGTTGCAGGAACAGATGGAGTCTGATAACTGCTTGGGAGGAGACGATGACTGGACTCACTTGTCTTCAAAAGAAGTGGACCCGTCTACAGGTGAACTGCAGTCTCTACAGATGCCCGAATCTGAAGGGCCAGGCTCTCTGGACCCTTCCCAGGAAGGACCCACAGGGCTGAAGGAAGCTGCGGTGTACCCACATCTACCACCAGGCAAGTGATCTCAGGGATTTTGTACTTCTACCTTTTTTATTCCAAGTATCCTATCGCCTGTCTTGAGCAACACAAAAAGGCGTCTATGGTGGGGCTGGTCTATTGGCATGAGAGAAAATTAGGAGTTGGTTTTGTCCTCCTGTCTATACTGAGCCCTTTTAAGTGCAGCTAGTTTTAGTAACTTCTAAACCTTAACATCTAGACCTGCAATTATGCAGGCAGATGTGACGTAGCGGTGGTACTGGTTTTGGCACTGCCATGCACCACTGAAAGTGGGCTCTGAGGCCGCCTTCACTGTTTCCTCGTGGAGAGGCCGGCCTAGCAGGGCCCCAGCCGAGGTCCCTGTAGGGGCCAGGCAGGAAGCCACCATGTGAAGCAGTGTGGAAGGCAGCAGGGCTAGGTGGGGACGGTGGCAGCCGGTGCACACACTGAGTAAAAGAGGCAGCTGATACTCTGCTCCAGTTCATTACCGTCACGTGGCAATATTGTTGAAGACAATGTTCAAGAGAAAACCCATCTGTGGGCCAAATGTGGCCCTTGGGCCCCCAGTGTCTGTCTTCTTTGCCTTAGAGCAGGGGAGACAGACTACAGCCTATGGGCCAAGAATGATTTTCTCAAACTTTTTTGTTAACCTCGCCCAAGGATTTCCCATTGATTTTTAGAGAGAGTGGATGGGGGGGGG